TTGTAATAATTAAAATCCTCCCGGTAGATCAATACTGGAATCTCTTTATGGGAAGTGCCCTGATGGAAATGTCTCAAGGAAGCTGGGGCTGTGGAACTCTGAAAAATTCATTTTTTTTATCTGACAATTATCACCACACTGCAGACTAATTCAACAGTGCACCCCTCTCACTCTGCTTTGAATGCACTGGAGATTGACATCTAAAAAAACCTAACATCTCATTTTAACAAATAAAGGCACTATTTCCACATACAGTTTGGAATTATCAGCAATCATGAAACCAGACAAAAAATTAATATACATTAAGCACTTCATCTTCTGATGGCTTCCTCTGAGTCTCAGTTATCGCAGCCTTCTCCTCATTTCCTCTCTTTGTATCTTCCTGTATTGATCTCTGCCTTTTCATCTCTTGAAAAAAGGGGAAAGACATGTAAAATTATTATAAAGCTTGATATTTATGTATTGAAATGTGGACTTACATTATCAGGTTTTCATATATTTATTGTTAAATATTATTAAATCATAAGATGGGAAAACAGGTTTTATATTTTCTCCTACCTGGTCTGCTCTCCACGTATTGACTGAAAGACTGGAGCTGAGTTTTCCTGATGGTAGAGTCCTTGCCGAACACAACGGGATTTCTAAACCGTTCTGCTGCTTTTTGTAATCGCTCAGCACGATGCTCCTCTGTTCCATTCTGCTAGGGAAAAAAACAGTCACACAACAGTTTCTTTTGTTTACAAACGGGAAGACAGGAACGGGAAAGGTGCATTTCGGCGAGGAGACAGGACGCAGCTTTTGCGAAGAGGATTTCACAACTTGGGCTGCAGTTTATATAGGATGAAAAGTACCAGCTGCGGAAAAAAAGGGCAAGAGCGATTAACTTTTCCTTTTTTTTTTGTTTGTTTGTTTAATGTGCGGTGGCAACAACTGGATTTTTGCTATGTGGGCACCCTCCTGCAGGACTCTCTACTTACTTACCAGCCAGACCTATTAATTGTGAGAGGTATTTGCCAGCGATGCCGATTTTAAACGAAAAATTACTCCTTTGCAACTTTGATTTGCCAAGCGCCGCGCGTGCTGCTGCCAAGTAGCGGCGCCTCTACCCCTGAACACGATCTGTATCGTTTTAAGAGCGTGTTGCCTTTAGCCTGTCTCCCTGCCCGGTAAAGAAATCTGTCGTTTTCTGTAGTCCCACAGACTTGTATGACAAGAAGAACTAGTTTCTAATTTTATGCCCATTGAGATAAACCACTAATGCTGGATGAAGGCTAAAAGGTAGGATTATAATACTACCCCACTGAACTGCATTTCATCAGCTATACCTTTCCAAAGCCAGATTTGTAAGTAAGCCCTTTACAGCTAAGGAAACTACAATTATCTTTTCCAGGGCTTCCTATGTTAATACTGGTAACAAATTCAAATGGTTCTATCAACACGAAATATCCCAGAAGACTGAACCACCGCAGCGTGTGGAAACTGCAGATACCGAGGTGCTGTGTACCAAACAAATATTTCATTTTATACCTAATCTTTTATTATTTTTATTAAGTGTTTTGAAAGTAAATAGGGAAAGGCTAAGATGCATGACTAATAGCTAAGCCTGCTGAATGCTGAAACTGGTTATCAAAAGCTACCAAGACTTTGCCCTTCCTCTGCATTGAGACAATCGGTAATGAGGGAGTTCTCCAATGGCCTATTCTCTAGCCTCAAGGAGGCCGGGGATACACAATCCCCAAGGGAAGGTAACAGTTTATCCTTTTCCACAAACACAGAATGCCTCATTTAGAAACGTGTAAACTGCATTTTATTAAAAAACAAATCCACCTCAAAGCCGAGAGCTCCATGAGAACAGATGGACACCATATATTCCTTATAATGCCGCTTTCCAACTCTTCCTTAGAAAGACGTACACAGAGATAAACTGTTAAGTTGCACCTTTTGTGGGAGTACCTCAAAAAAAAAAACCCAACAACTCCTCCTTCACAGAAGCTTTTTATAAAGAGAAATACCGTTTTCGTCAGGTTAGGTGATACCAAATTACCCTAAGAGGCAGTGCATGTGTCATTTGTCAAATTAAGCTTAAAAAAGTATTGCTCACATGCTCCGGATGACTTTTCAGCTGCACTATAATCAAATGGTTATGATTCTGGTTAAATAAAAGGTGGTTTCCTGTTATTAACACAATAACCATCTGACAGCCTAAACCAGAGTCTTTACCAAAATAAACAAACATGACTAATTTTTTAGGCCTGGCAACATGCTAAAATATCAGTGTGATTAGCCAGTAAATCCCATTTTAAGAAACCTTTTTATGACTGGGGACTTCTGCCACTTTACAAATGTATTCCTCTAAGCCCACTAATTCAGTTAGCCTTTTCAATCCATTGTATTATTCTTGGGCCAGCTTCATTTTGCATTAAATCCACTGCAGAAAGCTAAATTGAACGCAAAAATCAGACTTGATCCAGGCTTCCTTTTGTTCAAAGATAGAGACCGAAAGTCCTCTGCTGCTGCCACACACTTTCATCACCAATTTATAGGAACCGACAGTGTAAGGGAAAAGCAATGAAAGTCATTGTTTTGGGACTTCAAAGCATCTCTGTATCTGGGGAAGGAAATCCTTTCAGTCAGCAGTGCTTTCCCCCCAGACTGCAGGTGGGTGAAAAGTTATACCCAACTGGAAGTGCCCCAGAGCCATAGGGATATTAATGACATACAGAGACTATTTAAAAAAAAAAAAATAGTAAGAATACAAGGGGTCTAATTAAGAAAATGAAATGAAAATGGATTGGTGTGCGCTTTATGCTGAAGTGGTGAACTTCAAGAATACACAAAACGACTGCATGCACTATGTACTCGTGTCTGTTTTTCTCAGAAGCACTCGTTGTCAAGCTCCCAAGTATATATGCCTTTAAAGTGTGCCACGGCTTAATTTTAACGGAGAAAAACCAGAAGATCAGCCTTGGGAGGGACTAAGTCACTGAGACTACAATCCTGCTCCCGTTAAAGTCAGGGAGAGTCTTGCTGCTGATTGCACCAGCAGCAGGATGGAGCCCGTGCTGTATTTCTGCTTGAGGTGACAACCTCAGCAATAAGAATTGAGAAATGCTTCTTATATCTCTTACTGTCACGCCAGTGACAAGTATCAAAATCAAAATTAAAAAAAAGGAAAATGCATTGATTAATCAACACGAAAAAACCCAATGCATTGCAAACTATGCAACTACACTGCCATGAAGATTTTCTGCGTTTCTTACTGTGAAGGATTTGATAAGAAATCATCTTCCTCCTCACGAAGTACAAACCCGAAATCGGAACACACAGGTACTGAGACAAAAGCATTAATCAAAACTTACCTTAATGTCTTGCTCTGAGCTATCAGTTACAGCTTTCTGAGCAGCACTGGAGAGTGAATTTGCCACCTGTGGCTGAGCTTCTAGGAGCTTCTTCAGCTTCAAATCCACCAACTTACTGTTTTGTTCTGCTAAATATGCAAATACCACATACAACAGAGTGAGATGCATTTAAATGCAGAGTCGCTACAACAATGTAGCAATTTAAGAGGTAGATTTCATTCACTTTGCTATCATTTCAAACTAGAAAAGCAAAAACTAGAAGGCTAATTACTTTTTTGGGGATTCAGATTAGCGTAGATTTGTGTAACATACATAGATAGCACCTAAGTTCTGTTAGAAAAATGTATGTAGTACTCAGCTGAACAAGTAAACGTGCTTGAAGACAGTAGATGAAAAAAACAGAAAGCAGACAATGTTTACTTTAAGTTACTCCCAACCTGCACACACCTACACTTCGGAATAAAAACACACTTAAAGAGCCATTTATTTTATGATGACACATAACAATTTATCACATATTCTAAGTACTGATAACCCTTCAAGTTTATGAAGTACTAATTCATCCTAAGGCTCCTTGGCACAGCTTCTTAACGTTAAAATTTCAGTATCAAAAGAAACAACTTTCTAGTAATATTTTACTATGATTTATAGAACATATGAAGCCACGAGAGCCGTAAAACACTTCGTAACTGCATTGAAGGGACAGATTCAAAGTGTGCTGAAGGCCCCAATTTTTTTTATCAGTTTTAGCAACTTGGATCAGAGCCCAAAGAAACAAGAGTCGAGAATTTTACCTCCCAATAATGCTCATTCTGTACTTGACGGTTGACTATCTGAATTTGTTACACACCTACACACAGTTACCTACACATACACACATAATAAGGAGAAAGGTGTTAATAACAAATCACAGAGTAGATCTGTGGAGCTAACCCTAGGTAGGAAAGAAGAACAACACTGGCGAAGAGGCCCCCAGACATACTCCACATGCAGCACCACACGAGAAATCGCCCCTGAAACGGGGCGAATGCAGCATCACCTGCGTGTATTATGCACGTACATCTGGGCCCTTGGGTCAAACGCAAAGAAAACAGTAGTTGCTATGTTTTTCTGCAGTTTTTCTGCAGCCTGAGTTTTTCACTGCGGGCTGGTAACTTCTAGCTGGTGTGGGAATCAGAGCCACGACTGTTTTGCGGCACAGCTCCTTCCAAGGTTCGAAGCGCTCCGATTCGTGTTAGCCAAAATATTTTGGGCATGCTGGCAATCAAACGATGCCTGCCTCCAGCAGCAACAGGCTGGGTTGGGTTATGACGAAGCATAGTTTCCCTTTCCTCTGGCACACCCAGCCAGGGTGCCCTTAATTGAGGCTCACATGTAAGTACATGCACATTCTCGTGGGTTTATACATAAACATCATGTAATAACTATGATATAAGAGGTTCACATTTTATCAGATAGATTCACAGCAGCATATGGTAGCAGTACTGACAAATACAGACAGATGCAATATTTAAAACCAACAACTGGCAGTAAAAGTAAAAAAAGAGTTTTCTTGGGAGAGATGGGAGGGACTAAGATTCAGCAGGGGACAAATTAATTAAGATAGTCATAACAAGCCCTAATGTGAAATGTCCCTTACAGTTTTGCGTTTAGGTGCTCCCAGGAGATTCAGCCTTCATTAGAACCTGGTATGAATTGGCAGAATCCCACCGAAATCTGTGTACACTGATTTCTATCACATCATTAGACTGCTTTCTGTATTATTGCCCATTCCCTTCCTTACTCATTTGTCCCTCTGGCTGCTGTGCAGACTGAACTGCAAAATGATGTTCCAGGTTTTTTCCAGAACATCTTCCCATGGTGGAGATGAAGCATTGGGCAGTGGGTTTGTATCCCTGAGAAGGTATCTCTCAGGAAAAAAAGGCCCACAAAAATAAATGTTGATAAGTCACTGGAGCTACCTGACAGGAATATTCATTACTGATTTTCTATTTCTCCTAAAATGAACCGGTATTTACTGGAAAATTATTTAACAGGATTCTGCTCTAAATCAGCTTAATTCAAATGCTGGAAACACTAAATATATTTTATTAAGTGTTTGGAAATCCTCAAATAAAAAAAAAAACAACGACATGACTCAAATCTTTCATATTCAAAAAAGACTAGAAAGAAAGTGCTATATACACATCACTGTCGGTTTAATTTACAAAGAGTAAACACTAAATGAAGTCTTTTCATTTAATATATTATGGGCTACAACCTTGGGTCCAGTTGGCATGGGCAGAACCAAGTCAGAGGATGCTGTGAGAAGTTTGCTTTTGCACAGCCTTTATCCGGATGCTATCCTGTGCTTGCCACACTTCCCCGGGCTTGAGCTAACTTGTAGGGAGAAAAAACGTCCTGGCAGAGCAGCACACCACACTACAAAGAGGCCCTCGGCAATCCCCAGGGCCGCTGGTAACAGGCAGGCTTGTACGGAGAACAAGCTCCTTCAGCAACCCCCTGTGAGTAGAAGAGCCCCTTACTGATGGGCAATTACCTTCACACCTTTGAAGATCCAGTGCCTTTTTAAATAAGCATCTCCCTTGTAAGATCCTGACTTATTTATCATCTATGGAGGAACCTGAACTCCAGTTTTGCTCGATTACAATTTTTGAAAGAGGAAAATACCACTACAATGATTTATTATCACTTGACCAGCATGTGCTAAGATTATACAAGCATTTCTGCAAGAATATGAATGCTTTGAAAATGTGTTATTAAAAATCTATTACTTGTACTTTGTAAAGTAAATAGGACTAGTTCTGTTCAAATTTATACCTCCATGCCCTCACTGGAGCAACAAGGTATAAATGCAAGAGCCGGTCCCCAGGAAGGAACTGGAGGGATATCAAGCCTACATGGAAACAGAGAGACATATTTGCTCCTCTTCACTGAGCAGATGGACCAGGATGTCAGTGCAGAGAGTGGCAGCTGTAGTCACCAATCCAATTGCTCGCTCCCCTCTGGCCTGTCCACCTTGCTTTGCTGGGACAATCTAGACAGGGTGACTTCAGATGGCTCTGCTTTACAAATCTGGCTGGGGTCCCCTTCCTCATCAAACACCAATGGACATTTAAATCTGCTGTTGTTGAAAAAAATAATTTTGTTGCTGATTTTAAATTTCAACTAAACATGAATGTAAAATATTAAAAAAGAATCAGCATTAGGGTTTAAAAGACCTGAAAAGGCACAAAGGAATAAAGGTATGACACAGAGAAGCAGCACATCAGAACTCATAAAATGATGGAGTGTTAGTCATGCAAAATACACAAAATAGCCATTATTTAAATTACCCGTTGAATCAAGGTCATTTTCTAGGTTAGTAAGCTCATCTCCACCTCCAGTAACAGAGCATTCAGGAACCTCCTCGTTAGTATCTATCTCAATATTATCATCATCCTCATCCTCATCTGTAGGAACATACAGCATCAGGTTAGTATTTCCTTAAACACATGCACCACATCACTATAAAAAAAGAATGCTTTAGAGAACAAGCTGAGTTATGATAAAAATGCAAATCATTAAATAAGTCTAGAAGGAGATTTCACTCTGCCCACTCATGGATTTATCCTTAAACTGATGCAATTCAATATACACACAGGGGGCTCTGCTGGAAACTCCTGCTACAATAAAGGTAGAGCCTGGCCTCAGCAGTGGCTGTTCTCTGTGCTGAATCTCTGGCTAACTCTGAAAAGCACACGTGCTTTTCCCTATAACTGGAGTCAAAATAATTTTCCCTAGGCTCCCAGTTCTCTGTAATGCAGAATGAGTGCTGAAGCTGGCATATGGCAGGTTTGGATGGGGTTGGCCAGCAGAAGGTCCCGGGAGCTGTGGTCTCTTGAGAAAGGCAGCAGCTCCAGGTACCGAGTTCCCAGCCTGGCGAGACTTGCCACTTACTTTGCACAATATATCACCGACTAGTGACCACCGTGCCTTGCTTAGGTGTTAGGGTCTCCTACCACTTCCCATACAAGGAGGAACGGTACCACCTGGAACATTGCGCTTAGCAAGTGCTGACCTCAGGTGTAGCAAGAGCACACTCACAGATTGCTGCCTTACTGCACCACTTTGAATCAGCATTGTTTGTAAGCTACATACATTTTAAGTAAAATAATAATTCTAATTATACTTTATATTTTTATGGGATATTTCTACCGAGTTTCTCAGAGCAGCTTATGAATATCACTTGTAAATGAGTCCCATAATGTTTTATGATGTAGGCGATTATTATAATTACAATTATGATGATGTAGCTAAATTATGGCACAGAAAGAGTAAGTAACCTGAGGAAGATCAAATAGCGAGTGCTGAATTGTGAAGCAGATCCCAGAAAAAAATCCTGACTCACATTTTCAATACAAATATATAATGAAATTAACGTCCATAAAAGCTAGATTAGTACTTGCAAAGCATGTAGTGGCATTGCATTTACTCACTTTTAAGTCTCATATCAAATGCTATCTGCACTTGTTCAGACTTATATGAACAATTTTCCTACGTATGTATGCATGCATGCGTGTAAAAATGATAAAGAGGAGAAGGCTGGAGTGTGTCTGGAGAAAGACGACATAGAGTAACTAAAGGAACTTTAAAACACTTCACAATAGGAAAAATTGCTAATTATAACTACAGGACATTGGTACATTCAAACGCCATATAAGCAAAAAGGATCCTAAACATAGTACCAAGTTGCTATAATCCTGAGTATCAGAAATTTGGGGAAGTTTGGACTGGGATTGGTGCTGATGTCTCATCATCTGCCTTTGAAATACACTAAATCTCATCTCCAGAACTGAAGTTTGCACTTCAGGCCCACAGTGCTGACATGAAGCTCATACAGTTACCTTTCCTGATTCAGGGTAAGGCTTTTGCTGTGACAGACAGGAGTAAAGAAGTTTCCATTTCAGTGTCTTATTCAACATCTGTTGCATGCATGATGGAGCAGCAGTCTGTGAAGTAGAACCCCTCTGTTTCAACTGACCACCATGACTTCCCTGGGCTCCTCTCCACTAATCCTCAATGGTCCCTGGAAAAGTCAGCTTTCTTCCAAACTGCCCTAGCTTGAGCCAGATGGATGGAGAACATCATCTCTCTCCAGCCAAACCAGGATCTGCGACCGGACCGGAGACCTGACAGATGGTGCTTCAGGTGTACAACTGGGAGGGCAGAAACACTCAGGACTCTCTGCAACATCCTTTCTGTTCCCACTTAAATTCATACAGATGGTCCTGTGATCTGCACTCTAGTTATTTCAGGTAACACAGAGGTAGGTGAACAAAGCAGAAGGGAACAGTGTGATCACCATCAAGTGGAGAAAGGGTCGGGGTAAAAGCAGACTGAAGAGAAAACGGAGAACAGTAAAGCAGCAACACTAACAATCCTCAAGTTTTGAATTTCTTCGAAGCATCTCTCTCTTCTCTAATGAGGAGCTAGTCTTCTCACATGATTTTAAATCCTTCGTGATGTTGTCATACAAATTCAGTGGCACTCAGGCCATGATACTCTCAAACACATCCTGGAGCTCACCAGTGGCACACTGAAAACACGACTGGGCTAACAGCAGCAAAGGGCCGTGGACATTTGGAAGAGGTGGAACAGAAAAAGAGAGACACCACCATAGCAGAAGGAAACCAAATCCACCTTGAGCCTAGAGGCAGGCAATGACTTTCCAAAGCACCCAAAGAAGTCAGCTTGCAAGGTCAGCTCACAACTACCAGTCATCCAGCAGGATGCTAGATGTGTCAAAACAATCTAAACAAGATGACAGGGTTTAAGACTGCTGCATACTAAGGCAATGCTTATATTAGATTATTTGATTTTCTTTAATTTAATATAGTGAGACGAGATCAGAGGCACTGTCTTTGACACCATCATTTTAGGTAACAAAAGAGAAGGGAATGTTGAAGACATCAGTTCCTAGTGTCAGATAATGACCTGACCTAGTATTTAATCTAAAGTTGGCAGGCTTCACCCAAATGTGATCACTAGGACATTTACATTTTATTAAAAAAATAATCAATTAAAAGCATTTATTAATAATTTCAGAAACTTTCAAATATCTTACAAAATCTACAGATTCCTAGTTTTAAACTACTCTATTTTTTTTTTTCCAGTCCAATGTTCTTCTAGTGTATTAATAAGGGAAATGTGTTTAGGGAGCATGTTACAACAAGATTTTGCAATTATAAATGATAAAAGGAACAACATGACGAAGAGATAACAGATATCTTTTATGAAAAGAACAAATTACTAGTGTGAAAAACTTAAAGGACTTGGTCTAGAACCAGGGCACGTAGTTAGAAGAGTACTAAAGAACTGCTTCCTTGAAAAGTATGTAAATGTGGATCCTAGAAAGACAGCAAAGCTTTACCATGTTGGGAAGAAACCAACAAAATCAAAGGCAAAGGATTAAGTCAACAACTAAGCAGCAGTGACCATTACCTACACAGCCTGGACTGCAGTCTAGACTGAAGAGAGTGAAATAAGAATCTTTAGGTACCAAATGGAAACGTCAGAATACTGGTGGAGAAAAGATCCACAGGCATTTTATAGCTCGTACGTCTTACTATTTAGATTAAGTTGAGGCTTAATTTGTAGTTAAACTTGATATTCTCTTGACTTGGTTTAAGCTTGTCCACATGTGAAGGAGTTGCAGCAGATTGCATCAACTTCTAGACAAAATTAAAAAGAAAATTTTCATAGAGAGGTAAAAGTATTGGTGGGAGTTGGATCACATTAGTGGGAGAAGCATATGTAAGCTGTCAGTGGAGCTGTACGTACTTGCTCTTTAGGGAAGATGCCTCCAGGATTGTCTCTGGGAAATCCTTCGAGCTTGTGGATATTCAGATATTTAGTTCACTTACTATCAGGTACAGAGTTCACTTTAAGGCTATAGGATGTGACAGGAGTATCTCAACAGTAATAAAGGAAGCAAAGGTGAGGAACAGAAGAAATGCAGAGTCAAAATACTGGTTCGGTGTACAAGAAACCAGATGTCAGGACAAGAAAGTACAGCAGTAACTGCCAACAGATACAAATACTGCCTGTTAAAAATCTTAAATTGAGGATTTAACAGCGTTTTATGAGTCAGAGACTAAGCATGAGGAGTAAGCCTGAACTACCACGTACACGCTCTCCAAATCATTGCCTCAGAAGTAAAATCTGTAATGTACCCTGAAAACTTTAAGCACACAAGTCCAAGAAAATGCCAGCAGGCTCTCTTAGTAAGTTTTTTAACTGCAGTATTTCTTTCCAGCTTTTGTTATTAATTCCAAAAATTTTGAAAACTTTTTTTGTCCAAAACAATTGGATGCTGCACCTCCTGCATTCTTCCCTCCATGCTCCTCTAATCTCTCTTTTCTGTTGCTGTTCTTGTGTTCATTCTCTTCTCTCTTCCCAGTTTTTGCCTATGTTTGGCACTTTTTTCACCAAAGCCTCTTTACACGATGCTTATCTTACCTACTGTCCTCTCCATTGTCCCCTCCCGCCGCTGCCTACTCACTACCTCCAGATCTGAGCCACATCCTCACAAAGACGCCATCTCAAATAAAGGATGGAGATGTGCCAGAGAGTACAGAAAACACACTACCCAAATCCCAGAAGAGCAGACGGGTGTCCCACTGCAGAGGGACAATACCTAGATAAGATGTCAATTCCTTTGTCCCATTGCTGCTGGGAAAAGGGAGGATATTTGGATTCCTATCTCGATACTGTCCCTGGACCCATCTCAAGGCATCCGCTTATCAGCCTGAAGCTAGTAGGACATGTAATAAATTTGAAGCTGCCATCCCAAACCCTCTGGCCGTTGGCAGAAAGAAGTATTTTCTGTCTCACATGCCAAATAACCTAGGAAAAAAGACTGGATTTCGTAGCGAAGGATGCTGCTTATCCAGGAAAGTTTCAACTTGCCATAGGCATTTGAGTTTTTCAGACCATGATTAAATAAAGCCTTTTAACAGAGAATGTTGCACCAGTGCCAAAGCATGAAACTCTTAATGAGCATACAGAAACACAGAGAGAGATCACATTTTCACCTACAATAGTGAGCAAGAAGTTAGTCTTTAAAAACTCCCAAATCCCAAAGCTGAAATGTCACTTTTTTCTGGAATAACTGAATTGAGAGAGAGGAAAACGGTTAGGGACATTCCTTTTTGTAAATTAAAATGTAGCAATCAATGTAGAAGAAGAGACTAATGAAGCATAATGTACAAGAGAGTTTGGAAGACATGAGATATTACTATAAGCTTGTCTTGGGTATCGTATAGGGAATACAGGACTATACACAGAAAAAAACCTACTACATGTAGATGCAGTCAGGGGCAATATTCAGAATCCAGCTGTAATAAGGAGACTGTCTATAACATACTCCACTTTATATGAATGAATTTCTTGAGTGGAGATCTGGTGTGGCACCTGACATTACCAGCGGTGTGGCAGAAGTATGTGGAAGATGTGCCATAAGGAAAACTTTTTGAGGATGAAGAAGCAGAAGTGTTATAAAATGTACATTGACATGAAAGGAGCAAAGAGGAATAAAAAGAGAGAAGGAATGAAAAGTGGAAGTCCAAGAGGAGTTCAAATAGTTTGGCCGAACTACTATATAAACAAAGAAAAATGAAGGTAGGAAACATAAACCAAGGCGATAACTCAAAGCACATGTGAAAGTAGAAACCAGTTAAATTGTTACAATGGATAAAACCCAACAGGTACAGTGGTGATAACTTTATGAACTGTTGTCATCAGTACTGATACTGTCTCCTCCTTTAGTAAGTAACACAGAAACTCTCTGTGCACATATGCAATATATACATATGAATACTTTTTTAAAAATATATATGCACAGTGCACAGTTACCTCTGAGACTGTTTATAAACTGAACAAAGGGCAGGAAGAGCCATGGCAAAAGTCAGAGGAAAACATGAACAGGGAAGGCCACATCCCAGAAAGTGGCATACTGGGATATTTAGCAACAGTACATGTGAGTCACTGCAACAAAACAGGGTATACTACTATCCAGCTGAGCACTCAGGATACACCCAGAAAGCATACCTTACTGGGAAGGGAGAGATGGCAGGAACAGCTATGTAAAGGTGTGATAAATCAGTGACGAGGAAGTAATGAAATAACATAGGATGGGGAGTTACACATTGTGAAGAGGGATGTACACCATTAAGTCCACCAGAGTCTACTTAATTTACAAGTACTGTGCCACTTTGCTCAATCTGTCTTACTCCCTTCCCATCAAGGCTGTAATTTCCTTATTTATCACAAAAGAGAGTTATGTTGGCAAGCTTGGTGTGCTGGGCGAAAAGAGGGAAACTGAAGACCTGACCCAAAGGGAGACGTACAACTAACTGCTTTTCTCTTTGGTGTTAAATGGAACAGAGGTGTAGGGTTTAGGGTGCAATAAGGCTATATTTAAATATATATGCATATAAAATACACGTAGAGAAGAAAAAAAATATTGTTGTTGAATGTAAAGCTGGATTTTCCTGACACTTTGGCTTACAATTACATGTTAGTATGAGAAATACAATTTCTCCTTAGAATATGCAGAAGACACTAAAAAAGCAAGAAGCCTGTACTGAAACATGTGCTCAGCACCCGTTTGAGTTTGAGTGACACTACATTACTCCAGCTCGTAGCACTGGCAGGTATATGAATTTTAATGACATTTCAAAGTCAGTTTAATAACATTATAGCAATATTACATCTCAAAACCTGTAAAGGCAAGTGGTATGTCAAAAGACTGCCATTAAAATCAAAAGGTTGTTGCCCTCACCTCCCATGAGCCACCTTTAAAATTCTTTTGCCAAGCAGTCTTTTGAACATATTTAATAGACAATAAAGTTTCTCAAGTATTTCTAATGTTGTTTTCCCCCAGAATTATGTCTGCACTTCTATATAAAAATATATATTGAAGAGATTTTAATCAACAATCATAAAATTCTATAAAACTGAGAGTAATGACAAATCTGTAATTAATAAGCCAATATGAACCACTTGTTCATGTAACGTCTTTTTCTTTCAATCACATATATGCTTTTCTTTTAATTGTTGGAAATTAGGTGACACAACGCTGATTTAGGAAACATATTTACAAGCCAGGTCTTTTGGTATGTGCACCTGATGAACAACGATGTTTTGAAGTGTGAATAAAAGTGATGACCAAAAAGATCTCTGGTTTCTAGGTTGCCATAGGAATAAGATACAAGGTTCTTCAGCTCACCTCCAGATGCCTTTGACCTTTCTTTTAACTTTTCTGCAGCCATTTCACTGTAGCTAGGAAGTTCTGACATCTTCACTCCAGATCGAGCTTCTGCTATTAGCTGACGAGCTCTCTCTCTCAGCTGCCGACGCCGCTCTTCATCTTGCTGCTAAGATATATTGAACAGTTGCCAACTCAGTAATTGACAGAAATGCAATTTCATTCTCAATCTGATCATCATGATAGTAACTGGTTTACAGCATGGTGCTTGGCCCACATTATAAATAGGATGCTCGATATCAGTTGGGTGTCACACCACAATTTTTAAAGACATCCATGAACCAGATTTTTTTTTAAAGCATTCCCCAAATTATTAATGCATTAGAAACCTAATTGTTTGCAATTTAAAGCATTTATAAATGATGTTCTATAAAATACCTTGATGAAAATTCTCAGACACTTTTGTCTCAAAGTAATACTACAAAAACTTTTACCATGGCTACAAAAATGGTTTTACTAAACTGAATTACTTGTTTGAGTATCATTCTCTCATAGACCTGAAATGAGAAGCCAGATGTTGCTACTGGTTACTCCAATCACCAAGCTTACTTCAAAGTCTAAAGTAACATCTAATCTTAACATCTAATCCTTAGACTTCAATGGATAAATACTTTTAAAAAAAAATAAACCAATGATAGTTAACGAAAGAACAATAGATGCCAGAGTAGAAAAGATTTTGCATCACTTTAAAACACCCTCCTAGTGGGGCTTTGGTCAAGAATTAAAATCACATGGGAACTATCCCAGAAAACGTTGCCCCACTAAAGCCCGTAACTATCTTGGAAGCACAATAACATTTCAGTTCTAGAAATGAGCAAAGTTCTACAGCATGACATTTTGGAAAAGACTAGCCCACCATACTAAAAGATCTAGTATAAGATGACGTGTTTCAACACATCCATAAGAATATATTAAAGTATAACAGAAACAATTTCAGTTTTCACTTTACAATTTTTTTCAAAGTTAGGATAGTTTTCTCCCTCCCTTCAGTATTAGTAACGCTCCTAAGCGCAACCAAGTCAGTGTTTGGCTTTAAGTCAAATCTGCCGATAAATTCGTCTTATTGACATAGTGAACAGGATAAAGCCCAGGTACAGGCAGTTGACCTGAACTAAATGGAATATAACAAACTGCCTAAATTTGGAGAGCCGTCCTGGCAGCCTTCCCACCAACCCAGAAACTGAACATCCCACACCTGCACACGCTGGTGAGAGCTGCTGCTAAGTGCTATTTAGTTTAAGCAATCATTAATAAAACAAGCGCAAAATACTAATTAGGTACATTTTACCCATTTCCATGTAAATTGTTTGTTTGTAGCTATTTACTCAGCATTGTTCTCGGCACAATAGAAAAAATGCAAATGACTGAATCAGAATGCAGCCCTAATGGGACTTTCTGTTTATAACCATTAGCCCAGAGGTGTGCTGTAATTCAATCCTCAAGCAGCGAGATTTAGCCTCATTAACAGCTTGCATGGGCAGGTTACAACTCATAAAACCCTACAGTAAACAAAGTATATGGACACAGCACAATATCTTGTCTCTGAGTGACAGAACCCTGATTCCCTATCAGATTGCCTTGATTTACTTTTCTCCTAATGTCCTTCCCCTGGAAAGACAATTCTGCCTGGGCTCTGCAAGGCAGCGGGATGGCACATAGGGCTTTGTTTGCTTTCTCACCCTTTAACTTCCCAGAAGGCACAGAGCAACAGTTCTATCAAAAACTTGTTTGGTAAAGCACGTATTATAAAGACAACTGGAAAGCTTCCCCCCTGCTCCTATGCACTATAAAAGCTCCATTTAATTTAATTTCCAGCCAGCCAACTGATACAGCAATCGACTTTATTTCAACCTGCAGTATTCGGTAACATAAATTACGCCGAATTTTACATGAAATAAAATTGCTCACATCTCTGCTATTCGTAATTCCTGGGATATAGGAACTCATGGGTTTGATTTAAATGAGTTTTAAGAAGGAACGTGCAAAACTTGTATTAAATTCCCATGTGGTTTACCATCAAACAATTTAATCTACTATAGCTCACGTAGTTTAAAGTAAGGCCAGTTACGTGTTTATGACACATGCCCTAAACTGAGCACTGATTCCCCGTCTCCTTTTCTCCCCTCCTCCTGAAAAAGAACTTGTATCCTGAATTATTAGCATAGTCATTAACATCCTGGGGATCTCCAAGCAAACACAGATTATTGTTGCTTGTGTTTGTGCTGATTAAGCCAATCATCACCAGCGGATAAGGGAAAAAACAGCCTAGTTCTTGCTTAAATTCAATGCAGGTATTTGAACTTTCAGTTACAGAGTTTGGCAGAGGAAACACTGGTGGAAAGCAGCAATGAATCTGAGAACAGAAAAAGCAGGTAGATTAAGTTTTGAGGTACAGAACAATCATTAAACAGCAAATTAAGCCCCTAGATTTTGGAAAGGAAAGTGCTCGGGAGAGGTACAGAGGCATGAGCGTTGATACTGGAAAAAAAAAGAGACATGAAGAGAAGCTCTGCACCAAGGAGAGACCATGCAAACATATATACGGCGATATTTTCCTGTACAGTTGACGAGAAAATTCAAGAAAATCTTTCACCCCCTGACACAAACCTGACATGTCAAAGAGACATTAAAGTTTGCTCCGTTATTTTCCCCCCCAATTACTTTGTAACGGTCTAAAGATCTGCCACGCGGATGCACAGCGAGGAAAACTTCACCATTTAAGGACAAACTCTTCAAGAATAAGTAATGTAATTCCTTGTTTCCCTCCTATAAAAATGTATTGGTATGCAATTTTTATATTTCACAGTTCACCGACATCTCGGCAAGCTTTCTTCCACTGCTTCAATGGTGCTACTTTTAATTTTATCCTCCTTAGTCCTAGTAATTAAAGTGATCAGCAGTGGCATCCCAACGGCTTTGACACAGCTACAACCCCCTAGCAGACTCCAGCTTTTAAGGGGAAGGGGAAGAAAAAAAAAAGGACGAGAGTTTCATTTCACTGGAACAAGAAAATCAAGCTTCTCCAATCCTCAACTTTATCCAATTGTTCTTTCAGCAGCCTTTGGATCTTAAGAAACAAATAAAAATGGCTGCCATTAGGGGGTCCTTTTTGTACTTGCCGCAGACGGCAATGACTGACACTACTTTGGCCAAAAATGATGCCGTGGATTTGGGAAGGTGAATTCAAATGTGAAACACTGGCTGGGCAGTTTCCGAGATCATTACCCAGCGAGCGATGTCGCTCGGCAGCAGCAGAAGCTGAGAGCTGATCAACTCAGTAAAATATTGGGAGCGGTGGCATCCTGCAGGGGGGAAAAGAAAAAAAAAAGCCACCATAAACCCCATCTCCTTAACTCATTAAAAATTCTGCAATCTTCTCGCATTTTCAAAAAAATCTGTCAGGGATTTTCAGTTGTCCTTCGGCAGAATTTTGGGAGGATTCAAACTGAGTTTACACCAGAAGTCTGATAACGTATTATCCTCTCCCTATAAAAAAATATAATCCCGTGAGCTGCATTTATTTGACATCTAGAAAGAAAATTCTTTACCGTGTCCATAGACTGGGGGAAAAAAAAATAAAACAAAAACTGGTAAATTAGTGATACTCCACAGCAACAAAATTCAACCAGAATTGTACCTATGAGGGGGAGCGATTCCCATAGCTGTAGGTTTCAAAATTGTCCGTGGTCTGCCCCAAGTGCACAGTACATCTAAGAGAAAGAACTTGACTGCCATCTCTTTCATCATTAGACAGGAAGAACGGCTCTGTTATTAGCCATTCAGAAAGAAAAAGACTTCTGTGCTTGTCCAGAGGCGAGGATTACCAAAATGTACCTATTCAGTTAGTGGAGAAGACAGAATAAAAAATAATAAAAAAATAAAATTACACGAGCTTTAAAGGTTTGGGCAGCCTGCATTTTACTGTGACCTTGATCGGCTCTTGTTTGAGTAAATAGGATTTGGGATGAAACATTAAAACTGTTTAGCAGATCTTTTCAAACCATTTCAAACTTTTCTTATGTTGGTTTATAATATAACCAGACATGCTTGTAAATGGCCACACCTGCTCATTTCTCTGGGGATGGCCTGATCTCTGCCTTTTCTAACAAAGAAAGGATGGTAGAAAAAAGATCAGCCTTTCTTGTTGCAAAACAGAGTGGAAAGTCAAAATCTTTCTCAAGTTTGTCCCATCTGGTCAGATTAAATCTTTGATCACCCTGGGGACCACATTTATGTTTAGTCTCTACTACTGTTCAGAACAGGTAGTGAGGAAAATATGAATTGGTAAGCAGGGAATACTCGACATAAACAAAAGTGCATTTGCTTTGGATTTCTGTGGCTCATCAGGTCATAGGAAGTGGTCAGCAAAGACAGATATAAATATCTTGGATATTTTCTGCCTTCTCCCTGGTGTCTGCATCAGCTACCTTACCACCAATAAACTGCATGTAGCTTGAAAATATTTTTCCATGAATGTATATCACAAAAAGTATCAAATGACTTGTCATAAAGAAGCAGCTATTGGCTTACAATCTATGGCACTGAGGGACTAATGAGACACGACAGAATGAAAACAAAAGTAGCCCCAAGTCTGAAACTGGAAGAATCACAAACAATGTCTTAACAAAGCTATCTCCTTTGAGGAAAAAAAAGCCTCCAAAATTCACAATAAAATGGGGTTGTGTGGCTGTAAAACGGAAAACAACTCCTTAAACCTAGGAGGTATTTATTTTTAAAGAAATGTTCGCTTGTAAATTTTTATTTTTATTTCTTTTTTTTTAAAAATATAATCTGTGTTGTTCTGGAAAACCTGCGATTCACTTGGTACAGTATTTCTGGTGTGAAGAATGCTGGCTGTAGAAAAACAATCCGTGGATAATTTAATTCCTCATGTCCTTGTGAAATTGAGAAACTCTTAGTTTACTGAATGAAAAAAAAAAAATATATTTGAAAAAAAAGAACGGCTGACTAAGTAAGTATCACCTTGTGCTACATCCAAGGCCTCTTGCTGGTTGTCTGGCTGCTCTTTTGTAGGCAAAAAGGAGCTGAACGCTCTCTGGCTCCTTAGATCTGGCCCAACAAATGCACTGCCAGTCATGCACATGGATC